TCAAAGAAGCGAGGTGCCCTCACTAAAGGGTGTGCCTAAGTGTAAGTGTGCATGCTTTAGTGCGCTCTGAGGCCCTTATTTTATTTTATTTTTCATTTTTCATTTTTCATTTTTTTTTTTTTTTGTGAAGAATCTCTTGGAAACTGCTAGGAAATCTTTTTTTATCCTCAATTTCTCCAAATAATAATAATAATAATAATTTATATTCTCAAAATTAATGTTACTTTACTGTTCCTTTTTTATTTTTTGAAAATATTAATGTTATTATTCTAATACTATATTTTTAATGTATAAAAATTTATTTACAAGAAAAAAGCCCTTGCTTGTCATCGTGCCTTGTACTTGAGCTCTAAAGGACTATTTTGCTTTAGTGCGTTTTGAACATTTATAAAGCAAAGCAACTGGGTGATAAAATTCAAATGAACCTTTTTCATTTCTAGTCATGAATTCTTAGAGTGGTGGATAGAATTAGAGGAGGTGTAGGAGCTTGTGATATTTAATGTGTCTGTTTGAGCATCTGTTACCCAGACGTTTTGTAATTATCGTTTTGGTATGATGCTTTTGGATTGGAGTTTTCTCTTGTAGTGTAGCTAGTTGATGCCTCCTCTTGTGGGCTTGTTTTTTGTATGTCCTTTCATTTCTCTTAATGAAAGCTTGGATTCTTACCATGTATATGTAAGTCACAAATTGAATATTAAAATGGCTCATTTGGATTTGCTTAAACATTATAGTTCGGGATAAATGCTTCCTTTTGGATTTTTCCTTTGTTGTTTGTGTGTACTCATTTTCTTTCTCAAGTAGTTATAACCCTTGGCAAATTGAAGCAAGAATCCTTGAAAGATTAAGTACCCTTACCTCACACAAACAGACCAATCCCAAAGGATGAGTTAGAATATAGGTTGCCATGATAATCAAATACAAAGGAGGAAGGAGAACTAGTTTCTTACTCGGTTTTAATTCTCCCAATCAATTTGATCAATTCAAAACTTGGTTCAATGTTCAACCAGCTCTAGAACAAGAGTTGCAAGAGGGATGAAATACTTTGGGCTTTCAAAAGAAAAGTAAAAGTGCATTACACAAATTCATTAAGTATTTCAACCTGAATTACACCAAATGAGAAATAAGATTTTTAAACAACAATGTATTGGACTTAACCTCCTATGTGGTGACAAGGATTGGGCTAAAAGATTAAGAATCAGAGCATGAGAAGCACTAATTAAAGCTACATCATCTCTCTTTAGTGGTGTTGTCTTTACCTAGCTGTGGAATGTGAAAATTTCCCAGAAAATAAAGTTCTTTGTGTCGTGCATCCTTATATAAGAGTTTACGCATTGGGGTGAGAGGGAGTTCTTTTATTCCAAGCTTAGGGGTTGTAGATCTATGATCAATGAGCTCCTTCATTCACTCCATTTGTTTGGTAGGGAGTTCTTTGTGGAAATCTGGGTTGAGTGTAATTGTGGGGCCTTTGGGGTGAGAGGAATAATGAAATTTTTAAACAGCTTAAGATGATTTTGACCAATGTTTGGTCCTTTGTAAAGTTCCATGTTTCTCTTTGGACTTTGCAGTGAAGTTTTTTTTGTAATTAACCTTTAGATCTTATGCTGCATGAATGGAGTTCCTTTTTAAGTGTTGAACCTTTCCTTCCATCTTCAAGAAATGAACAAAAGAATTCATTTTGCAGCTCCTATCGTTTCCTTCATATTCTCCAATTCTACTATTGTTGAGGCCTTCTTGTTCATTTCCTTCTTGTAGTTCCTCTTGGGAGCAGGAGGAGGGCTTATCTCCGTGTTCTTCCCCTTCTTGGAATCTTGGAAAATATCTTTTGGAGGCATTCGTGAAGCTTGAATGTTGGTTGGATTTGCGTCTGTAACTTCTTGGTTGATCCTTCACCAGATGTAAGACACTTGGAGTTGATTTAAAATCTCTTAATTCATTTCATGTAGCTACCCTTTTCATCCTTGAATCCTAGCTTTATTGCTTTCCTCACTTTCGTAGATCACACCTCTAGCTTTATTGAATCCTAGCCTTTGTTGGTTTGGTTGTTGTTGCTATCTTTTGATTTGTTCAAAGTGTAGCCGGTCATCATTATTCAATCAGATCATTATCACAACCCTTTGTTATTGAAAGAAATCGGAGTTAGTCTAATAGAAGAACTAAGCAAGACATGAAGACATAATATTCACTTCACCATTTTATATGTATATATGTATGCCTTTTGCGCATGTTGATAGTTCGGATGTTTTGAATATTATGGGAGATAGGTTCCTAATGGTAGGTTTATGCACACCAGTGAAAAATTCTGAAGAAGGCAATATTGTTTGCCATGCATTTTGGGCCACTTTTTCTGATTTGGCTGCATATGGACGTTTCCGTTAATTATTTTTGGATATCAAGTCTTTTTACTTGAATTTTGTGATATTTGGCTTAAACCTGACTTTTTATGTAAACTTTAGGGACGTTTCATTATGGCTGCATATGAACATTTTTGGCTTTGAATATAAACTAACAGTCTCTGTTTTCTATATAAAATAATAATAATAAAGGTACTAAAGATTTATTTTGTTTCTGTAGTCTTGAAATATGCTGTTCCTTTTGCTGCTGGGGGTGCAAATTAATCGGTACTTCTGAACGAGCAACAATTTGCCAGGATTAAAGAGGATGAGTCAGGCTGACCAAGGAATCAGCGCTGATAATTTAGTTGATGCTCCGTTGAAGCGAAAACGTGGTCGTCCCAGAAAATATCCGAAGCTAAGTTATGATGAGAATATTCTTATTTCAAAGAATAGAGGTAAGAAACATTTGGAGGCTATTCCTATTTCTCCTGGTTCTGGAGTAAATGGAAACCAATCACAACCAGCAATTCAAATTCAAAATATATCTGATGGAATGTTGGGACAAGTCGTGTCTGGTGTCATTGAGGCAGTATTTGAAGCTGGATATCTTCTGTGTGTTAGGGTTGGCAACTCTGGAATCACTTTGAGGGGTGTGGTCTTTAAACCCGGGCATTATGTCCCAGTTTCGGCAGAGAACGATGTGGCCCCTGATATTCAAATGATCAGACGAAATATGGTTCCTTTTGCTACAGGAAATCAGAGTCCTGGAAATAACCCTCTGTCCAATAATGGAGAGGTCCCATCCCACGAATCATCGGGTGCCACACTGGGGTTTAAATATTCGCCTCCACATTCGAACTGGGACGCTCCTAAAGAAAAATCTGTATCATCTATACTTGCCCAAATTACCCCTTCCGGAAGCTCAAGAGGTAATGTGGTTCCTGTTGTGCAACTACCTGCTAAACTAACTAATGGACCCTTAGGTCCCTCTGAAACATTTACACTTCAGACTGCTGATATTGAATCCTCAAAAGGCAAAGAGGTTCTTATAGGTTCTTTTACGTCAAACGAATCAGCTCCCAACGATGTGACAGTTGGGATAGAAAGCTTTTCTTTCCAACCTCAAACTAGTCAGCAGGTCGTCTTACAAGATAATGTTTCGGTAGAAAACGCTTCTCACAACAAATCCTTGGTAATGGAAGTACATGATTCAGAAGGTAAATCAATGGCATTGCCTAGCACGCCTTTCGAGAGTCTTGTGACTGAAGTGATCAAGAGAATTCAAGCCCCCACTCTGTCAGCTGAGATGCAGACTGAGAACAACAAACCAACTGTTACCATATCAGCTAAAGAATTCGAAGTTAGCTCGGAGGTTGAAGCTAACCTCCTAGCAGATGGAGCGTTGATGATTGAACCCCTAAAAGCAGTGCAGCCACTTCATGAAAGTTCAGAGCATATTCCCAAAGCTCTGGATGACGAGTCTAGAACTGGCAAAATGACTGAGCTGTTACAGGTACACGAGTCTTCGACTAGAATGTATTTTTCGTCGATCTTCAAGTATTTGGTTAGATTACTAATACTTCTTGTACATGGGAAGAATTCACTTGCTTTATGCCGCTGCCTGCGCTAACAAAGTGACATACTTCGACAAGGTTTTGCAGGAAAACATGATGCAAACTCCAGATCCGTGGGGTGACGTGCACGACCCGTGTTTGATGCTGAAGTCGGAAGAACCTGGGGAATCAAGAAGAGAGATTGGGGATGAAGAAGAAGCTGGCAACCAAAAGCAAATGTGAGTAGCAGCAGCATGTATGGGCACAGTTAATACTTTGGGTATAGAAGGGGGGGGTACCATATGGTGTAGCTGTTTTTCTGGACGCTACCCAACGTCTAATCCTAACATAGTGTAGTTGGATGATTCTCTAGTTGGATATTTGGATATGGACAAAAAGTTCACATATGGAGAGTAAAGTAGCTAAAAGAGCCTTAAGTTATAAGGTTTTGTTGGGCAGATTAATTGAATTAATGAAATTTATAAGTTTTAATCCCGAATCGTTTAGAGAAAGGTAGCTGCCCGTCGTATGAATCAAATACTTCTTAGGTTAAAATGTACTTCGGGTTTCATTTATTTTAATTTTTGTACTTTTAATTTTGAAAATGTATTCTGGGTTGTATTTTCTTCTTACCTGAAAAATTATTATTGTTATTCATCTAATTTCTATACAAAGGACTAAGGACTAAATTTAATATACCATTATTGGAAGTGTGAATGGAATTGTAACAAAACCAGAGTCTACCGTTCAATTTATAGCTGTCTTTAATACTCTATTTTATTTATAATTTTAGAAAATTCAAAAGTTTAAATTTTAATTTAAACTTTAGAATTCTTAATTCAGAATTGTTAAACTTTAAATCTTAATTCCTTAACTCTTTAACCATGTCGAAATAAATAGATTTCATCTATGAACTCAACCAAGAAAAAAAAAATGCTGCTGAAGTTGATTCCTTGATCACAACATGGTCAGTGAACAGTACAATTCAGCAAGGGATCACATTTATTTAAGATGGTCATTAAAATCAAAAGAATATCCTGCCTTTTCTTTCTTTCTTTTTTTTTTTTTTTTTTTTTTCCCACATTTTCTACAATTTGAAACCAACCCATGAATGACAATGAATCGTTCCCTCCCTAGAAATAATGCTTATCCTAAACAAATTTTAATTCAACCTATACATAGTTCATCAGGCCCCATCCACCAATCGAAGGTAAACTGTCTTGATTTGAATGGAAACAATCCAATAAAAAGAAAAATGCTAATAATTAATACAAATTGGGAAAATAACTTTTAAGAGGATCAAAATTTTGCTAAAACCTTGGGGTTGACTACATGGAGAATTAACAAAAGAAGCAAATTCATTAGAACTTGGCGTTGAAGAATGAATTAGCTTCTGGCAGTTGCATTGGGTGGTTGAGTGGGAAGGATGGCTGCAAAGCTGGAATGACCTTTGGCGCTGCGGCAAGCGGTTGGTGTCCACTGGCCATGAATGGCTCTGGAACACAAAGCTGCAATGCTTGTGTTGCTGCAGTTCCTGCATTGGTCGAGGACGTTAAGATGAAAAGTTGGGTGATGAAAAGGGAATTGTGAGATCCCACATCGGTTGAGGAGGAGAATGAAACACCTTTAAGCCTCGAGGGGAAGCTCGAGAGGAAAGCTCAAAGATGACAATATCTAGTAGGGGTGGCGGACCGATACAGGAATGCTCAGGCATTAGCCAGGAACAAGAATTTCACCTTGATGTTTCGGATATTGAACAGGCTGTGTTGTCAACAAAGGGCAAGGTGGTATCGGTGAGATGATTGTCGTACCTTGAGCCAAGTCCTGAAATATGAGACAAGGAAACTAGGTAATTCAGAGTCAAAGGGAGAAGCAACATCATGAAAACAGACTAGATGATGAATTGACCTCAGAAAAAACCAAAGAACTTCAAACATATAGATTTAATTATCAAAACAGAACATATACATCCTTCAAGTTCACAATTCACAACTATTTAACTGCTGCTCATGGCGTCAAGAAACATAAAGTGAAGAGAGATCAATTCTACAAGGTAAAATAATTCAAGGAAGCAATAGAATTTGTGGAAGGATGGCTTATACTTCAGATAAATGGGGTCACTAAATGCTTACATGGGAGAGTGGCTGCATATAAACAAGTTGCCCAAGACGACCGACCATAACCTGTAGCACAATAGGGGAGGTGCAGAGGTTTTCAACACATATATTATCAGCTGGTCATGAATGAATTAAAGTACATTCTAATCTGCCAACTAAAATTGCAACCAGGAGGAACTAAATTGAAAGAACAAATATAATCATGTTTCCACTTACTGCTGGAGAATTTGGGGGCCCAAAGGTCGGGGCAGCCTGGAAAGGATACTGACCAACATATCTTAGTGGCTGCGTCCTGGTTCCCACATGTCCCACCATCTGTAGGAAAGATAGAGGTTGAAAACTCGGACAGCAAATTTGTAGGAATGAAGTTTATTACTACAGTTGCACTGAAAGTTTGAAAATGCTTTTACCATTACCAGCAAAGAGGATCCTACTGAGATTAGTTTATAAGTAATAAACAAAATTACTACATGCGACAGTTACTTGCGTCTTGTTGTAATAGAGAGCGGTATAAAAACTGTTTGCATGATCATCATGCATCCCTAGCCAACCAAATTATCATTGGAAATTCCAATCGAAAGATTCAAGGAAAACCCTACATACAACTCTTTTTTTTTTTTTTTTTTTCCTTCTGGGATACACTTCAAACCGATGTTTTCTTATGAACAATAAAATTCATTTGATATAACCATATTGAAACCAAGAAACACCTTAAAAAATCCTGGGGGATTAGCCAAGTACAAGTTTCAGATTTTAATACTCACCTATCATTGAATCTCTGTTACCCAAGATACAGTACATGGTCTTATAAATGAGATCTAAAATTGCCTTCTCAAACTAGGGAAGGAAGACCTAGATGCAGCTGAAACACTGGAATTATATATTCCGACTTTAGTTTTAGCTTTTGTTCATTTTGGTTGTGAAATGGAGACACAACTATTAGAAGAACTTGACCCCCATAAGGCCAAATAGATAGTTTGATAAGAATAACAAAGGAAAACCGATCAAGAGAAACCTGCCCAAACAATGCGTACAGGTTGGGAAAATTGAGCAACGTTGCCACCAAACCCAGATATTGAGTTGTCATTTGGGACAAACTTGGCGGCAGGCCCAGGTGAACGAGGTACAAAGGACTGAACACCACCTCTGGTTGTGCAACAGGTACATGTAGTACTGGCGTGTTGTTTGAAATGTAAGACACTGGAGCTGCAGGGGTTGCTGACATGTTATTTGCAACGGATGGATAGAAGAGTTTGGCTCTTGGATTGAGCTTGAATTCCTGCAGAAGTATAAAATAGAAGAATTATTTCATTAGTTATCGGAGAAGAAATATCAATTATAACTTTGCGACCTTACAAAAGTCTTCAATCTGTGTTCATCACTTTAACATACATGTACAAAGGCCGTTGCAACAGGTAATAAACCGTCCATAAAACACATACAACCTACCTCACGTCGAAAATGTTTCATTAAGATGTATGAAAAAGACGGAAAGTTTATCCAAATTTCAACACTGTTGTTGATCCAAATCTCATATTTCGAAGGGAAAGAAACTTACCTCAGTTGAATTTGTCCTCGCTAATTACCCATTTCTACCTTTCCTCTTGAAGACCCTTAAAAACCAGGATCTATGACTGAATATCTGTTTTTTTTAATAAGAAAAAAAAAAAAAGTAACCGATAGATCCTTTGTCAAGAAAACGAGAGGAATCATCTTGTTGGATGGGAAAATGTTGCCCATCCTAATCAGTTTGGTGGACTGGAAGTGATGTCAGAAGGAAATACGTAGCTAATTATTCCAGAGGCTATATAGAGATCCTTTGAAACCAGTAACTTATGGCAATTCAACCAGCAACTACACCAACGTTCGGTAGGTTAGTAGCACAAGTCCACGGTGCAACATTCCATAGGAAAAATGCCTTCACTCAGCCTACATTTCATGAGGACCGATGAAGGAAGCAAGGTTGATCTAAGGACTCACGGAGAGGATGCTAGTTTACCAATTTTCTAAGCTGTTCAGACATGCAAACAGCAGTAACAGTACTATAAAGCCAACATGGTTTTCCTCCTGCCCAAAGTGGTTCCTTGAGGAACTGATAAGGATGATGGTGTTGCAAATGTTCCAACTGGACCTATTACACGATCCAAGGCCAAGAAGATTCAACAAGCATTCATTCTTCACCTACAAAATTGGATAGACTGTTGCAAATGTTCCAACTGGACCTATTACACGATCCAAGGCCAAGAAGATTCAACAAGCATTCATTCTTCACCTACAAAATTGGATAGACTCGGTTCAACCATTATTTCATGTGTTACAAGCGGATTCAATTGAGGAAGAACAATCTGGAGTCTCGAAAGTGAATATTTGCATGGTTGAAGAGTAGCAGATGAAGTTACTATAAATTGCACTGAGATAAATTGTTAGAAAACTTTATTTATTATTTTTAATTTCATAATTTCTGGCCAAAGACTTTTTTAGTGGGCATTTGAAGAGTACAAAGTTTCTTTTTTGTGTGGGAGACTATAAATACTCACAAATTACTATATAAAAGTCAGATTTTAGAGGAATGAAATTGAGTTCTCAAATTGAGACTTTCACCCTTAGAATTTGAGCATCATCTTTGCCATTTCTAAGTTTCAACCAATTCTTGTAGTAGATTGCATCTAAGTCATTCAATAAAATCTTGAACAAGTACGATTGTGGAGTAACTCAATTTAGAACAAGGTTCCAAATCTTGCTTCTAGATCTTTGATCTTAAGAGATAATCTAATTCTAGTCTTATCTTTTGGTTGATCCAAGTGTTAATTTCTTTGATTCAATGGTTCTTGCTTCATCAAAAGTTTGGATCGTTAGGCTGAGGATTAGGCCTTATCAGCCCAATGATCCAAGAAATTAACACCTCCTTATACAAAATTTGGATCAACCAAGAGATAAGGCTAGAATTAGATTACTCTTAAGATCAAATATCTAGAAACAAGATTTGAAACTTTGTTCTAAATTGAGTCACTCCACAATCGAACTTGATTAAGGTTTGATTGAAGGGCTCAGATGCAATCTACTACAAAAAAAACTTGCTTAAAATTTAGAAATGGAAAAGATGATGATCAAATTCTAAAGGTGAAAGTCTCAATTTGAGAGCTCAATTTCATTCCTCTAAAATCTGTCTTATAGGTATTTATAGTCTCCACAAAAGAAACTTTGAACTCTCAAATGTCCACTAAAGAAGTTAGTGGCCATAATTTACTTCCACTCCCTTTTAATCTCCAAAAAAAAAAAAAAAAAAAAAAAGGAGTCACTTTCACAAATAACTTCCCCCACCCTTTTGCCCACAACAAGAAATTATGAACCCAACTTCAATGGGATATATATATGATAGCTTCTTTTCTTTATGGTTAAAAATAATAAATAAAGCTTTCTAATAACTTATCAATCAAGTGCAATTTATCGCACCATCATTCGCTACTTCAACCGTGCAAATATTCACTTCCAAAGCTTCAAATGGTCCTTCCTCAGTCGAATCAGTTTGTAACACATGAAATAATGGTTGAATTGAGCCTATCCAATTTTGTAGATGAAGAATGAATGTTTGTTGAATTTTCATGGCCTTGAATCGTGTAATAGGTCCAGTTTGAACATTTGAAACACCGTGATCTTTATCAAGAACGGTTAACCCTCGTCATTCTTCAGGACTTTCCTCCTGCCCAAAGTAATTATGACTGTAAATTCTATAGACCCCTTATTATGAGAGTCTATACACGTAGGTGCGGGAGGGAGAGAAGGGGTACATGAGGAGGGTTTGCTCGAATGACTGTAGACCCAAGGAATTTTGTTAGTTAGAAGAGGGGCATGGGTACGTGAAGAGGGTGTGCTTGGATGGTTATGTGGGTCCAAGGGATTTTGTTAGTTGGAAAAGAGGCACGGGAAATAGAGCATATAGTTGTATGCTTGAGGAAGGGGTATCTTTTCGCTAATGGCTTTTTTGGCTATTCTCTATGAGAATGGGGAGAGGTGGGAAGCTCTCTAAACTATCCTTGCTACCTTTCTGGTTATTAAGTAAATGGTTGAGCAAGGCCTATTAATTTTTGTATCAAAGCAGTGAATTCCGAGGGTGATTTCTCTAATGGAAATGTAGATAAACACTGAGAGGGGATTCCCTTCATCACAAAAAAACACCAATGGATAAGGGCAAGTGTGTAATTGATGATGAATTTGTATGAAAAGGAAAAGATGATCAAGGAAAAAACACTAAAAGTAGTGAAGGGATACACACGTGGTAATTAGGTGAATGAAATCCATTACATGTTGTGAATGAAATGAAGTTGACCTACCCTCTTCTAACATGTTACAATCCTCTTCTCTCCGGTTACAATCCTTTACAGAATCCATCTTGCATATCTGAAAGAGGTTGACCTCCTTGCTTTTCTCATGTTACAATCCTCTTGACGCCGAGCACCCTTTCTCCTCAATCCACGGAGACAAAATGGAGGACTGGTGCCAACAGTTCATCACAGAAGAAAGGACTCACTAAGCCGAGATCACTAACTAATACTAATCTAATACTAATTAGAATAGAAAAGAATTGTCTATGTCATGTTATGTCTTCCCAGGAAAAAATATGTGATGGATTATGTGATGATTGTCATGTATACATGATGCATATATGTAATATGTCATGGATGAAAGGAGAAAGGGAGTGATGTTAATGCAATGCTATGAATGTAAATCGTGAGGATCTCATGCATATATGTATGTCATATGCATCGGGATACTTCCCAGTTATGTTATGTTAGTACGGATGCGTACCATCGATATTTATGTTCGCCATGATATCTTCGGACCTTTCTTTTTTGGTGGCATCGGACGACGTGTTAACACGTTGTGCCCAACCAAGCCAAACCCAGGGGTATGTATATGAGCCTGCTAGTGGGTCCATGTGCGCGTGCAAGTCTGTGTGTGTGGGAAAACACTACACATCGAATCCTGTTCGAAATTAAAAAGTGTCCAAGATCATGTTACGGTTTTAAAGGATAGGTCCCATCATTATATGTGTGTGATTCCATTACTAGCCCAACAATGGGTGACTTACTGAGTATTTCTTAAAATACTCGAGCCACATGCTACCCTTATATTTTTCAGGTAAAGGTAATGCACCCCTGCACGGATGACGGTGAATGATGGAATGGTCATAGAAGTCAAGATAGGCCAATAGTATGCATTAAATTTCATTTAGTAATTGATAGGTAGTTTATTTCATTTTTCATGTTAAATGACTGTTATTTTTCTTTTCTTGTTTTAAATTAAATGTGTAAGTCCACGGCTTCATTTGAAACGTTTTATTTAAATTTCTGCATATGTTATTAAAAGCATGCATATAATGACGTCTCTAGTTTAGGCAAGAAAATTAGGAGCGTTACACCTACCCTCTTCTAACTGAAAAAAGATCCCTTAGGCAAATCATTCAAGCACACCTCCTCATGTGTCCCTACCCTCCCTCACTTGCGTACTTGTAAACTCTCGCAATAGGGTATCAAATTCCAGACAAAAGAGGAGCGACTGAACACAAATCAGCTATATTTCGATTCATCCTCTTTTTCCAAGGATTTCATAATTGGACATTGAACCCATTTCATATGATGGGAGTTGCGGGTGTATTGGGCGCTGCTCTGAACTAGCAAAGGATTTTTCCTCCACATCCGGCCAATAGCATTTGGAGACAGTTCCTCATGAGATCAGATTTTTCAATTTATTACTCTCTCTCCATTTAATTAATACAAATGACAGAGTCCTCTAACAGCCTCCTCATTGGGCCTTTCTCCCCTTATGGCTTCATCAAAAGTTTTGGTCTTCATTGGGGCAAACCTAACAACATACAGGATTTTTCATTGAAGATATTCCATTCTTTAAAAACAGAAACAAGATTGCTTTCGAATTTTTCTCGTTTGTTTGGGAGTTGAAGCAGTCTTCATAGCTAGATTTTTTGTAGTTCTCTATTCGAGCCTTTGTACCATATGCAGTGGTTTAGTTGCCGAATATGCTTTTTCAGGCCTAGCTTTAGTGGCTCTTCAGTGACATGGTTTTTGCTTCAGGGATTGTGTCTGTTTCTCCATTGGGCGCTTTGTTCTTCATTGTATTATTTGGTTTCTTATATTTTTGGAAGTTCCTTTCTTTTTGGTATGGTTGCTTGTTCTTTACACTTCCTATGGGAGTTTGTTTCCCCAAATCTTTTATTTCTTTTCATATATCAAATGAAAATTTTGTTTCTGGTTAAGAAAAACATAAATAACTTTATACAGATATAGTGAAAAGTCCTGAAGAGTAGAACACCTTGAAAAAAAAAAAAACAAAACAGAACGCTCTATAATTAAGTTAATTACAGAAGGGATATAATATCATTAGTGTAAAGAGCATCCCTTTCAAATACGCCCTCCCATTTTATTTCCCTATTTAGAAAAAATTATGTAGTTCCCTTCCATCCAGATATTTTTCCATAGCCTTGATTTAAATAGGTCTTCCCCAAAACCCCTGCCATTCACTGCAAATTCCTTCATGGATTTATGAAAACCCTATCCAACATATTGGCGATTCAGAATTGAACACCAGCATCTTGAATTTAAACTCACGCACCAGTCTAAAGAAGGAGCCAATTTGGCATTCTGTAACTTATCTGAAGCAGGCATTTAATGATTCAAATAAACAACTCCACAGTAAAATTTTCACCTTCTCTTGTACACTACCTCTTCACATCAGCATAATCAAATTTTCCTCTAGAGTGTTCTTCCTTTTCATCAATTTTTCAATAGATGATCTGATTGAGATATGGTCAGATTCTTCAAAGATTTCAAAAAATAAAAATATATTATGGATAATTACAAAGTCCTAGCCTTGTGGGTTGCCTATACCTACATCCTCCCTATCGCATGGAAAGTGCCCAACTTTCCAACCATATTCCTGTATTCCTCTATGTTGCCATTTTAGAGTTTTACGAGTGGATAAGAAGATAATTAGTTCAATCACCTTCAGTTCTTTGATTACACTCCCTTTCTCTTTGGCTAATCGGAAGATCCTATAATGATCAGAAATCTCTTCAAAATTAATTCTTATGGTAGTTGGGCCAACCTGAGAATAGCAGTTAGGTACACACTTTCAGCCAAGAGGTCATAGAGTCGAATCTCCTATGGAACTAAAAAAAAATCCTTAATGGAAAAGAAGTGGCTGATGGTTTTGGATGGTTTTGGATGTAAACAGTGAGTGGCATCTTCCTTAATCAATACTAGCAACTCTACTCAACGTCTAAGGGTTTCTGACTCAATGAGTAGCATCGTCCTCAATGAGTAGCATTGTCTACCATGAAAAGCCCTTGGAAGTCAATTGTAGTGATACAAATTGTTTACTCAAGTCTGTAACCTCAAGATGCTTGTGGATCTCATCTTCTCGAAGGTTTGGGTATCCAAATTAGATTCGACCACAGAATAATTTATCTTGACAAGTTGGTGTGTGATATGTAAAAGAGAGGATGAATTGGCGACTACCTCTTCCTTTGGTACCTTTATGTAAGAAATTGAGGAGGAAATTTCTCAAACTTTTTAATTGGTCTTATCATTGGCAAACTTTCTGTATATTTAAACCTTGTTTTTTTACTAGTATGGGTATTTTCTGCAGCTGACTTTTGCATCAATGGCTTTTCTTTGATTTGTGCCGACCGGAGAGCGTTTAGTAACTCCCATAATTTCTGTAAGCTTTTGGCTTGTATTTCGTCCATCCAATAAAATTTTATATCAATAAATACATTTTTTTAAAAGAAAAGGTGAAAATTAAAAAGTTCTTTAACTCAAGGGATTGTACTAATCTGAGGGGATTTTGGCTGAGAACAATGGAAAAGATATTAAGGTATAAATATAACATGATAAATGTCCCATGAACATTCTATCTATTAATTATAGTAGTAATGTGATAAACTGACAAGGATACGACATACCTTGCCATTTTTATTGGATTCTGAACCATGAGAAGGGGCCATGTCGATCGTTGACTGCATTGAACTATGACAGGAGTTCATGCTTCTATCCACAGGAAAAAGTGAAGAAGTTGAGACACCAACTGAAAATGCATACGTCGTTATGTTGAGTGAAATGGGTCTTTCAGTGCATGGTTTCTCTAATTTAATAAGAGCGGAAGCAGAACAATTAGATACTCTAAACAATTGTTTTATGGCATTATTAAATTCTTATTATTCTCTGAATTTACTTTATCAGGCCGAAAATCCACCGCATAAAAAGATATCTACAATTCAAGTGGTCAAAGAATGATAACATTACATAGAAATATCCACGCTGGAAGGTATTTGAAAACTATACAGAAAAATCATAGGGTCCTACACTAACTAGCTAATTTCAAGAGATAACCACTTAATCCTACAACATTTAGTGTCAAAATTTATTGAGCATTTAACATTGTAGGTAAGTTGCAACGGAAACTACAACTCCGTAGTGCTATTTGCAAAATCAGCAATTCAAATAAAAAACCATCTGCAATTATATTTAGTTCATATATTAAGAAAACCCTTTCGTAGAAGCTTTATAACCAAATTAGGTGAGCCAGATATCATTAACAGCACTTTGAACTCACCACTCAATAAAGAGGATTGAACTCAGATCAACCTACAGAAACAAAAGTAGTCAGTCTTTAGTATAGTCCACCCATATGAAATAACATCTAATTCTCAAGAAAACACGGATCCTGAATAAGCTTAACTGACATACATTTAGTCCTTGACGCATGTCAAATTCCTGACCACGATCATCCTGCTCCGTTTTCAATTGGTTATCTGGGTCCTGTCTATCAAATAATTTAACATAAACCATAAGAAAAGGAGCACTTCAGTGAGATAAGAGTAATTGTTTACAAGATAAAACTGAACCAACAGATATATCAATCTCAAATAAAGTAGAGCGTGTGCCGCATAGAATGTTTCCTTTCTGGTATGAAATTGCTTCTTACCAAAAATAGTAGTAGCAATAATATCAACGAAAGAATTCATGATAGTAATTAGTTACAAAATAAAATTAAACCAACAAATATCAATCTAAAAAAAGGTAAGAGAACCATTCTCCACACGGCATGTTCCCTTTTTGGTATGATGGCCTCATCATGGAGATGAGATAAGCCTCAATTCTTTGCTGAACAGCCATAAAGAAAGAAATATATTTAGGAGAAGTTATTTCATACCTCCAATTGATTGCAGCGCCAGTGACAACTTCAAAATGCAAGGAGGTTGGTGGGAAGATAGGGTCATTATGAATAGGAATATGATAAACTTCAAAACAAAGGCCAACATGCATAAACTTAGATAGCATGCCAACGAAATAATTCATACAAACAGTTAGTAGTGTAGGTATGTTGAGCGAATACTATTTTTCAAGTACTATTAGTAGGTATCTTTCAGGAGGTTATCTTAATTAATACATGAGTCATTCTTAACTATTCTTTTAATAGAGCCATCGCTCCTCTAACTTAAAATATTAGAAGCATATGCTGGGTGAGTGTGCTACAACTATGCAAGCAAGGCACCAAAAGTTCACCTTTTTGCAATTTATTCTCTCTTTTCTGCTGTGCATCTCTCTGGTTGTTCTCGACGCTATCTCGCAAAAGTGGTCTAACATCACTAAGCTTCCCAGTTACAGTAGGCAGTGAACCATGAGCAAACCCATTTTGATCTTGGACCAGGTCACTGTTTTTACAATTAAAATCTGTGTTGGTAATCACGTGCATTTAAATGCGCATATGAATCACAATAGAAATCGAGAACCCCCATCTATCTTTTTAGTTCAACCATTGTGAGTATGGAAATTTGAACCTCGAAACTTTTGGCCAAGGTTGCCAAGGTTATAATGTCATAACCAATCTCAAGATATGCTTTGGTTGACAAAACCTTCCCCCATCTTGAAATATGGATTATTAAGCAAGAGAATATAGCTTTCTATGTGATGCCCAGTGCTAATTAAAATGCCAATAAATGATACTTTCCTGAAGCTACTATCATGAAACTAATTATGCAATAATTTGTCTAGTATATAAAACCAAGTAGGAGAGAACAGAATATTCTTTCCAAGTAAAATCAAATAAAAAATGGCCATTTGAAGACAACATAACCTTCTCAACCACAGATAGGCGCTTCTCTTCGGAAAAATCCCTCAGTTCTAACTCAAAATTCCTTAACATAAATTATGAAACTCCAAAATTTAGGCCATTTGTACCAAGAGTGACCATGGAAACAATCTGCTAAGAACAACCATATACATCACTCCAAACGCCACAGACAAAAGAATATCAAACTCCAAAATTTAGACCATAAATATACACAATGCTAGGAAGGGAGTATACCTTATTTGATTAATCGGACACCCCTCCTTGAATGACTCCGCACATGTCTTAGCCTCTGTCGCTGGATGCAACAAAATAGGATCGTTGGCCTTGGCTTCGTAATCACAACCAGCCAAGAGTTTGGAAAAACTACCAGCCGGAAGTCGAACCTACTGTACATTTGAAATAATCCAATGTGACCTAGATTTCCATTAAACTAAATTAGATTAAATAACATGAGTACTAGATAAAGCGAAATAAAAGTGGCCTTAATTACATACCATCGCAAAACTTGAGCAAGATCACCAGAGAGAACAATAAGAGTATCAATTACAACGGCATCGTCCACATTCACATTCCTTTTACTCTTTTTTGGCATCCTTGCTTTCTTCAAAACAACGCCTATTGATGCACAGATTGATTTCGTAACTATCACCATTTCTCGACGTATATGAAAAATGAAAAAATTCAACAAACAAGATAGGTACGTCTCTTGTCCAAGAGAAGGTGATGTAAGAAAAAAAAAACAAAACAAAACAAAATAGATGCCAATGTTTTCATCCATCCATGGTCAGGTCAAATTTACGATCCAAATCATCTACACACCGGAGCACCAAATGCATACGATAGAATTGAAATTAAAAAGAAAAAAACGATGGAAAACCACAAATTCACATAAGAAAGAACACAAACAGTACGATTGAAGTAGCATAAAGAATCAGGGAAATTAAATGGAGGAAGCAAAGATGAAGTAAGAAGAGAATACCGTATTCATTCTGGACACAGGCAATGTGGAGTTGCAGAAACGAGATCTTATGGAATATGAGAAATTTTTGGCTGTTGCGTTACGTGCTATATTATCATTTTATTTTTAAATTTCAATTTTTCTTCACATATTAAAAAAAATGTTATAAGTTTCAATTTAATAAATATTTAAATTTTCGATTTTCGACTTGTTCTAACAAAATTTTAAATTATACCTTTATTAAAAATGAAATTAAAAATTTATATCATAGGATAATTTTAAAAATATAATTGATATTAAATATGATCGAACTACATCAATTTTATTTTTTTAATATAATTTCTATTAAAAATATATATAGTAACATTATTTCATAAATTTGAGAAGAAAAGTTATTAGAAATAGAACGAATAATTGAAGAGTAAAGTTTACCAAGACTCTTGAGATACATGTATGTGTCAAGGCATAGGGTGGATATGACACTGATAGTCATAGATATGACGTATTTTCATGTGATCTTATAAATAAGTTAACTTTTCTCTAAATTTTAGGTGTATTTTTATAGGGGGTGTAAATTGTCATTTTTAATTGTTTTTAAAAAGAATCGGGTTTAAAAAATTATGTACCAAACCTATACCAACTACTTCTAGAACAAAGAGAGTGAAAGAAAAATGATATCCCATCCTCCTGCCCAATAAACCTCCATTTTGCATGAATTCTACCTCTACCCAAGAGCTTGAAGGAAAAAATTGAATATCTACGCATACACATTCATCCTTTCAAAACTCATCCATTAGCTTCGGGGAAGGTGAGGAAGAGAGTTGACGAAGAAATCGAGCCATGATATGGCTTGGATTTCGACCAACTTTTATGGCAAATATCTCTCCCACTAAAGGTTGAAGATGATGACATGGTCAAGTAAATTCTAATTTTTTCGGAGAATTGGATTCTCACCAATGTTTCTATTATTCAAACCGACATTCTCGCGTCCGCTTCGTCCACCACTGCTCGCACAAGTGCTTCCCTCTAAGGCAAAACACTCTGTTACCAATGCATTTTTACATTCCATAGTCTCATCAGATCGCTTAACCCCGTTCATCTTTGGCACAAGAGCGCTCAAGTATGCTTTCAAGTTTGCTTTTAAATTTGTAAAGAGTAACAATTGAACTCAATCCATGGAAAGAGTAAAAAAGGTACTTATTCAAATTCCAATTGAATTGTTTGAGAAACACAGAATGAATGAATCAAAGGTACATTGAATTAATACTTCAAAAGTATGGATCTCAAAACCATATCATTACAATTAATCATTTATAACTAAAGAATCTTTATTTTAAATCTAAGATGAAAGTGTCATTAAATAAAAAATATATAATGTTCAGTCTCAAATTTACATCCAACATTCAACTTTATATACCTAATTAATTAACTTATCACAAAATATAAGACTTCAGATATTAATAGAAATGAAAAAATCTCAAGTCTCCAATACCAAAACACACACATTAATCCCTTATGTTCTAGCCCCTGCAATTCTAATGAACAACCACACAATAGTACATCAACAATGGCAGTCCTAGTCACTCAAGCTGACCCTGCTCAGAAGATTACTGCAATGAATTTCTACTAATCTGAGGATAATTTTCTTTTCCTAATGGAATCTGAACCAACAAGAATGATATCTATATCCCATATTGAATCCTCCTCAGCAATGCAGCTACCGACAATTGTTCGCTACTTTTCTCAGCCTTTCAAGAAGATATGAAGGTCAAAAGTGTCAATTCAATGGGGGTACTCATTTGCCACAGTAAACAAAATAATTTCAATAATCCAACACTACACAAGACCACTTGAAAACCAAGGCAATGCAGAGTGACATCCCTGTTTTAGACCATTGAAAGGCAGGTTTTCTCAGAAAAGGTTGAACGCAAGTAATCAGAAGCATACCAAATTGTTGTGTGTTGGCTAATTCTCTTGAAGGGCAATCAATCGTCATTCATGTTGATACATCCAGTAAGAATGTCTGCTTGTTTCCCTTTAGTCATAGAAGATAAGCCAACTTTCACAATATCTCGTAGAGTGAGAGCACTAGACAAGCACGTACGCTGGCAAAGAGAATTGGTTTCCCTTTAACTGCCTCCTTTTCTTTTGAGGAGTTCCTGGTGGTTGAAACAAAAGTAAATCCACGTTATTGCAAGAGAGGAACAGTTCTTCAAACATAAGCACGTTGCATGGATCAATGTGAGAAGGTATTGAGAAGAAAATAAATAGGAAAATGGCAGGCAGCGGTGAACTACATGGAAAAGAAAATAGCAGTATAAAATTCAAAATGAATGACCCACCTCAGGCTATCCCTTGTAGTCGATCCTTCCACATCTTGGGAACCTTCATTCAAGAAATACAAAAATGAATGGAGTATAAGCATCCACAGCCAATAAAATTACTCAGAATCCAAATGAAATGAACTATCAATTTGGGAGAGAGAGAGAGATACGTGACCGGAAGAAGTAAAAGAAAGTAATCAACCAAAAGGAGAAAAAATTAGCTCTCTCTAAATTATTATTTGAAATCAAATGCTTTTCGAAAGTGATGGGAAATCTCGCTTCATTCTCCATCAAAGTTATAAAATGCTAAAGGCATCCTATCTGAACTTCAAATACCTTCTCCGGAAATGGAGCTGTCCAATGTGGAAAGCCAATGAACTGAAAAATGCATATGAGAGACATGACATTGAGAAATATTTCCCAAGTATCAAACATTTACTATTTCTAAAACCTCAAAATCAATGCTATATATTAGTGGACTAGAGAAACGTTTCATATCATTGTTGTTCTCTCTGGACCTTTGTACACATTTTTTCTCTTGTTTTCCCACCTTCATTAAAAAAAACCGAGTGCAATCCAGCCAATCAAGAATAAAAGAAACTCTTTCCAGAAATAATTACAAGACAGTGCAGAGAATGGAGTAATACAATAATACCTATGTGAACGTAGACACATCAATTTAGTTTTGCAGTGCATAATAATGCGGAGCCAGTTCAGACAGCCAAAGTCGATCAATTCTAGTGATATTGCGGATGTACTTGTGATTAGTTTGCACGAACTCGTTGAAAATTACACAATCTGGTTTTTTGCGGAATAGCACAGAAGAGGGATGAATCTGTACCACCTCACCACTTGCACAATCCCTGCATTTTTTGTCATGTGTGAGATAGAATAAAAAAATTTAACAAGACAACTAGAACTACATGAAGAACGTATCATAAACACGACCCAGAATGGCCTTTATTCTAGAGTAATCCCAAAGCCCAAGTTACAAAAAGCGTGATTAGAGATTGATACAAGCATGAGACAAATACAGATGAATACCTGTATGTTCCATCTGGCTGCTTTGTGGCTACGTTGAGGAAAAAGGAAGCAGCTAGGCATCTACAAAACTGAATCGTGTCATCTCCACAAGAGTGAAGAGGAAGATTCATTTGTTCAACATGTTCCCTAATTTGACTGCAATAAAATATATGGTTGGAAAGATTATACAATGAAAAATTTATATGGTTCTTTGCTTTTCATAAGCTGAGAGAGAAATGAAAGAGTGTACAAGCGCATACAAAAAACAATCTACAAAAAAAAACCCTCAACAACCTATAAGAACATGCTCCAATCCAAAAGAATAATAAGTATTAAGCTGATAATTTCAAAAGCCCAACAAAAGATGCCCACAAATAGGCTTTAAACCTTGCACCTTCCCAAAGATCTTATGAAGACCCTCCAATCCTCTAAAAATTCTATTGTTCCTCACCATCCACACTTCCAACAAGATAGAAAAACAACATCACAACCACAAGACCTCAATTTCACGAAAGGTTGAGTCCATCGCAATCTCCTCAAACAAAGACCCACATTTCCTACTACGTACCAAGTCTATCTTAAACAACTTGAAACACCAACTCCATAGGTAGTAACCAAACTAGCAACTCCACAAAAGATGATCAAGATCCTTGCATGTTGTCATCGATCACACCACTGCAAATCCAAAATCAAGGATGAAGGTCGTCGGATATGATCGTGAGTGTTTACTCCATCAGGCAAAAAAAAAAAAAAACTTCACTTTCTTGTGGATTTTTAACCTTCCACAAAGAGGAAAACATGGAGGTGTCCTAAACGGGAAAAGGGAAGCTTCAGAAGAGAAGCTTTAGAAGAAGGGTGGTAGAACCAAATGTTTTTAAATCTAAAAAGGGCAAGATCCCATGTCACCAAATATTTTCGAATTTAAAGATGATAGGCCAAGGATCTGAAGTCTATGCCCCCTCAACGATCACCTGAAAACATTATCCACCCATTAATAAAAACGAATTCTTCCCAATCTACAAAACACCACTCTCTCTGCCATTAGACTGAGTAAACCTATTGATAACTAGAGAAGGATCTAAGAGTTTGCACTCAATAATTTTATTAAGGTTCCTCACCGACCTCGTGAGTCTTCCTCAACTAAACTTCTCAGGCAGGAATCTAATAACCTTGAAACTCACAGCTAAGCATCAATGCTCACCATAAAGGTCATAGAGGCTCCCGAAACTCCTTCCTCCCTTTGGGACTAGACGGGCCATACACATCCAAGACTATCCTACCTTCACAACTTGGAACTCAAAATATACAAAGAGAGAAAACACTCTTTTCAGAATCTTGTAAGACTTAAAACCTCTCCCATACCACATCAAAAAAATGCCTCCAAAGCCCATATTAACTCCAGCCCTGCCTACTCAACATGATACCACCTAAAGACTCTTAACAAAGAGACTACAATATTCTTGGAGCTTAGTTTCCAACAAAGTGACAATATTATGCCTTTCCCAAAGTAAGAAATCCTTGAGCAGCCTCCACTTGTCTCACTCAAACCCCACACATTCCAAGAGACAAAGCTTCATTGAGTTTAGTTCCCCAGCTTCTGACAAAGCCTTTTTGCCATCCTAGTTAATTGAACAATCTAGGTTTTTCAGCTTCCTTAGCCTCTTACTCATGGTCCAACTGTCTTTTGCCCCTTCTCCTTCCCCAAATGCTCTTGAGACTGCTCAATTGATACAAGATGATT